CACATCTACTGGAATATGAGAGCTTGACAATTGAAATTTGGTGGACTCAGGTTGCTCAGCCAAGCTGGGACAGTGGTGAGCGGACTTGGGCAAATCATGACACCTTTTGCCCCGTCATACATAAGTGGTGTGAAAGGTAAACTTTTTGCATGCCAAACTCCATATTAAAAATATTTTATTTTCAGAGGTTTTCAGTTTTCAGATGTTCAAATATGGAATTGTTAAGCTGCATTTATTCCTGTTTTAAGTCTGACAGGATTGATAAAATAAAACGGGCATCCGATCTCAAAAGTGATCTCCAATCAGTTGTTAACTAGAGCAAGAAATGACTTGTGAATTTGAATGCCTTGAAAATGACACTACTATCTTTCACTTATCATAGAATACTTGAAGATTATAGCTATCAGGGAAGTAAGTGAAAGGAAAGTAGTCCCACAGACGGGAAGTGCGAGACATGAAGCTATCGCAATAGAAGAGACAGTTACATTTAACAGTTTCAACAGTGAAAGGGTGGGACTACAAAATAGTGGCACGCTTAAATTCATGCAGTTTGGGAACCAGCGAAAGTAGCTCGTCGAAGCAGTTACCGTGAAAATATTTGTAGAAAAGACAGAGGGAAGCGACGGCAGTTTATTTATAGAGTAATAGGCTGATAAATGAAATTGATGGATAATTAAGGCGTAATGAAGTAATGAATAAATTTTATTTATTTCAGACAAAAAATGACTTGTATAACTTAAAAATGAACAGCATCAGACGATAAAGTAATATATATATATATATATATATATATTTCGCTCTTGTATCTCTCGGTCGTTCACTAAAATATATATACCGCGCCTGCCTCGCTGCCGCCCAACACTCTCACTTACTCGGCAATAGCGTAAGATAGTTTCCAAAGAGTGGGGGGTAAAGAAAAATTACAGTCAGTAAATATTGTAGTTTATTTTGCCGTATGCAGTGTTTTCCTATTGTTCATTAGTTTATAGTCATCACTTTCACTATAAAATTTAAGTGCATTATTTACATTATTCGGACAATTGTCCTCATCTTTGTCGCCATATTTATTACAACGTTTCAGCCGTTCTACGCTCCGGCCTTCTTCAGATAGTTGGAATGTCGAACTGAACCCTTTATTTCGCTCACTGGGGTAGACTGTTCTAGTTCCACGTGCCATGTCTAATGGATGTCAGTTATCAGTTATCTCCTGTAAATTCCCCTCAAGGACACATGGCACAGTGAATAAAGGCATTAGTTAGATCTAGTCACAGGACCCAAAGAGTGTGAGTTCAATACCCGTTTAAGGCAGTGCAGAACTTTCAGAGGAGAATTAACAGGAGATAACTGATAACTGACATCCATTAAACATAGCATGTGGAACTAGAACAGTCTACCCCAGTGAGCAAAATAAACGGTTCAGTTCGACATTCCAACTATCTGAAGAAGGCCGGAGCATACAACGGCCGAAAGGTAATAAATATGGCGACAAAGATGAGGACAATAGTCCGAATAATGTAAATAATGTACATAATACATCATCTCAGAAATATAGACAAAATTTAAGTAACTTGTTTTTCTGTTTCACTAAATTATACACAGTGGTTGTTCGGACGCCATATTTCTCAGTCAGACGGCACACAGGAACATCACGATCAATTTTCTGCAAAAAATCAACTTTTTATGTTTTTTGTTTTTGTTTTTTTTTACAGTGAGAGTCGCCATTTAAAAGGCTCGGGGGCCACTAGCGGTAGAGGGTTATGTTGGGAGGCCGTTTGTGTGCATAGGTGAGGGAGATAACGATTAAACCTAACCTTGAACAAGATTGTAGTGATTGGGGAAGCATCCTGTTGGGATCGATCCCACAAGGCAGTGGTTCGAGGGAAGAAGCTACTCGAGTGAAAAATTCCTTCTGACCGATCGAATATGGAGGAAATGCGGGGGGTGCTACTATGTAAGTGGCATGGCGTGTTCTTATCATGAAGGTATGCTTTGGCAAAACCAGGGAATATAACGAAAGATGTTTCATTTTTCTTACTGTAACGCGCAAGGGTGTCTGTAGTTCTTTTTAACATTTTTACTGTATGAAAAATCAGCGAACGGCACTCTCACGTCTACCCAATACGAGCGGTTGACAACAATTGACATTTGGCGGGCTCAGGTCGTTCAGCCAGGCTGGGGGGGGGGAGAGTGATGAGCAGAGTCGGCCCGATCATGGTACATCTTGCCACGTCATACCTAAGTGGCGTTAGTCAAGTAGTTGAGCTTTTGCGCGCCAAACTCCATATTAAGATTATTCGGTTTTCGGTTTTCCGATGTTCGGATATGGGATTGTCATCTTGTATTAGGATTTCGTTGAAATAACCCGACGAAAATACTGAACAAATCTTTGTTATCAGTGGCAGGCTGGGTCTAAAAATCTTGATCGACAGAAGACAAAATGGTGACCCACAGAAAACTTTTCGGAAACCTCATAACTCGATGTATTGAGTGATATACTTTCAAGTTGCTGATACTCTGAAATCATATACTGTAACTTCACCTTTAAAATTCACACGCTCTTGCTGAAAACGTGGATTTTTCAGCTATGCCCAACTCGGGTGAGCTATTCCGACCCCCCACCCCCACCGCCTGCATTCATTCCCACATCTGTTTAACATTGCTTCATTCCTTCATGTGTGATTATTTGTTTGTTCATTGCATTTTTATTTAGTATTGCTCTTTTTAAGAACAGTTATATTTTATTAAGTTAGAATACAAAACTCAGGAAAGAAGTTGGAGATTTATTTATGTAATTAATTATAATTTTTAAGAGCCCTTCAGAGATTCACGGTCCCCTTCTTGAGTCTAAGGACCCCGAATTGATATAAAGGCTGAAGTAAAACTACAGTTTGTTATCATTTGAAGTTGCCGACCATCTCAAATCACAAAATGTAATTTTATCTTTAAAATCTCACACTCGTGCTAAAGATATTCAAGTTCCTTAATTATTCCCGAACCCTTGCCCCACCTTCTTCCCAATCTTATTACAACCTTCTATGCTTCCTTCCTGTTCATGCATTGCTTATCTGGGTCCTGTTCTCTCTATTTAATTCTCGTTTAATTCTTTTTTTATTACTAAATTAATGGTCTGTGTTTCTTTCATTATTGTATTTTTATTTGATATAGGGGTCCCACTTTATCAGGGTCCCACACTTGCCGTCGAGCAAGCTGACACTCTGGACCGTCCGTAACTGTCTGTTGTTATGCACCTTCTACAAATAAGGGTTTTTTTTTTTTGGTTTTTTTTTCTAAAACAGAGAAAATGTCTTCCTCTGTGGAACTTCTTCGCGCCACTGTTCCAGTCCTTACTGAGAAACAATGTTCCGAATACGCAGGTGGACTTCAGAAACAGCATATTTGTGCCGGACAGTTAACCACAAATGGTAAAACCACTTGTCAGGTTGGTCATGTTACTAATTTATTTTATTTTACATCTCTTTGTTCCCTTTACTCTTTTTTCTTACATTTTTCTTTGTTTTTTTTGTTTTGTTTTTTAAATTTTACTCTTTTGCCTTGTTTCTCTTTTTTATCTTTCTTCTTTCTTTTCTTTTTTATATTTTTCTTCCTTTAATTTCTTTTTTCTTTTTCTTCGCTTTTCTCACATTTTTCTTAGTTTCCTATTTTTCTTTCATTATCTTTTTTCTATTCTTATTTCCTTCTTTTGTCTCGTTTTCCTTCTTTTTTTTCTTTACGTTCTCCTTTTTCTCTTTGTTTTCTTGATTCTTTATCTTTTTATTCCCTTTTCTCTTTTCTTAACTTTCTATTATTTCACTTTTTCCTTTTTTATCTTGTTTCTTTTTTTCTTTTTCTTTCCTTTTTCTTCTTCCTTATACTCGGTTCTTTACTTTACCTTCTCCATTTCTCTCCTTTACATTCTCTCTTTTTTCACTTCATTTTTACTTTTTTTCTCTTTCTTTCTATCATCTACCTTTTGTTTTTATTTGTCTTTCTTTTTTATTTCTTTTCTCTTTCTTTTTTTCTTCTCTTTTGTTCTCGTTTTTTTATTTTTCTTTTGCTTTCTATTTCTCTTTTTTTATATTGTCTTTCCTTTTTTAATTTCTCTTCTTTGTCTTCTTTCTCATTTGTTTATTTCTCCTTTTTCTTTCCTTTCACTCTTTACTTTTTCTTTTTTTTTCGTATGGATTGTGCTGGCTACTGAAAGAAATCGGTACATCTTCACAATTTCCAACTGAAACACTAAAGAAATCGTATTTAAACATCTGCAAAACTTTAGCCTTTCGATAAGATAGTTGTGCATTCTCTATCGGTTCTCGTGGTTAGTTTTTGAATCTAAACAATATAGAGAATATCGAATGCTGACAGGCCGTTTGTTTTAATATACAGCTTTTCTAGCTCTATTCCAACTAAGTTAATTGTGTCAATCTTGATTTTGTTTACATTGTTATGAGAGAAAAAAAAACTTGACATTTCTTTTCTTTTCCTTTTCTTTTGTCCTTTTTTTTTTGCCATTTTCTTTTCTTTTTCGCTTTTCTCTTACCTCTTTCTCTTTTTAGCTTTTCTTTCAAGTTTGCTTTTTTAATTTTTCACTTTCTTTTCATTCTCTTCTTTTTCTCTTTTCTTTTCCATTTTTCTTTGCGTTTTTTCTTTTTTTACCTTCGTTTTCCTCTAATTTCTTACTTTTTTCTTTTTTACTTTGTTTTTCTTTTCGTTTCCTTTTTCTTTTTCCTGCTTTTGTTTTCCTGTTTCATTTTTTCGGTTTATTTTCATTTTCATTTTATTATCTTCTTTTTTGCGTTATTCGTTTCCCTTTTTACTTTTCCTCTTTTTTTCTTTCTATTTTTCACTTTCCTACTTCATCTTTTCTTTCTTTTTTTCCTGAACGTTTTCTTTTTTTTCTCTTCTTTTTCTTTTCTTTTCTTTTCGCATTTAGTTTTTCTATGCCTTTTTTTGTTCTTTTTTCTGTTTCTATTTTTCTTTTTGTTCTTGTTCTATTTTTGTAATTACCCGGATAATAGAATTAAAAGCATTTCATTAAATTACTTAATACAGAAAATGGAAACGCATTTAATCTTTAATAGTGTTTTCTATACGAATTTATAGACTTTTTGGAAAATGCGAAGTCGTAACAATTTTCAAGAACTTCGCGAACGACAAAATTCTTTTCAAGAAATATTCCATTTGCTAATCTCATATCGGCTGCTTTGAAAATCCATCAGGATTTTGAGTGTTTTGTTGAAAGCTTATGATAACATTGTCAAAATTCTAGACTTGAGCATATTTTTTTTTGTTTTTGTTATTAAACTAAATCAATTCTGTTTTTAAAACGATCTTTATATATAATAAACCAAGCATATTGGTGGTGATTTTTTTATTTGTAATGGCTGCAACATTTTGCTATGTTAGAGGTAACTTCTTTGTACTGGCGATGCCAGGTGGCACTGTCTTTGTTATGACAATAGCGGGATATTCCAAGATCTTTTCGAAGGCAGGAAAAATGCATAATAGATTGATAATAATTTATTAAAACAGATTTAAAGAACCACATGTGATATACTTTAAATTTTTAAAAGGAATTAACAAAATATTCCATCGATTTTACGGCAGGAGTAATACAATATATATATATATATATATATATATATATATATATATATATATATATATATATCGGCCATAACTATGTTACTTTTCGGAGCTGTGACGCTGGGAAGCGTAATTGCTCAACCGTGGTAACTTAAAGAATAGAACACTTTTTTGTTATTGTTAAGGTAGATTTCTGTCTTTTTCACCTTTTTTTCTGAGTTTATGTTTCTATTTCCCCGATTACCATCATCAGTTTTTTTTGTTTGTTCTATCGGTTTGTAAGGTTTTCTTTTTCATTTAAGTTTTTTTTATTGGTTACCTGGAAAGCTTGCTGCTGGCTTTATCAATACTTTGTGGTTTTTATTATATATATATATATATATATATATATATATATATATATATATATATATATATATGTCTTGAGAACGAAAATAATATAAAATTCTAAGGTTCACAACATTAATTCAAAAAGAGGGTTCAATACCAAGAGCAGAGCAATAATTATTTATTATATTTTTTATAATCTTTACCAAAAAACATTCTTGTTTTGTCCGTATGTAAAAATTATAATATATATATATATATATATATATATATATATAATATATAAAATTAAAATGTTCTCCTTTTAGCGAAATCATATATATATATATATATATATATGTTATGTAGTGGTTTCAAAGTGGAGGCTTGTATTTGTACTAAGTCGGTCCTAAAATAGGTTCGACGTACAAAACGTTAGGAACTTGATATAATAGGTAATGACTAGTTGGGGTGGCTGATACTTTAATATCCGACTAACGGTCGACCGACATCGACTGACTGACCAACGATATTTAGTCACCCCCCCCACGAGCGCATCATGTGGCACAAGGCCGGTTTAATGTGGGATCTCCGTGCCCGTGGCTCGGCAAAAATATGCCCATTGAACCCGAATAAACGGGTTCAGGGTTGGTTTACCTCCCCGGAATAGAATCCACCCTTCGGCGTAGCCTCCTTCGGGTTCCTCCCCGCCCGAAGGCAGAGAGTGCAACCGATCAGCCAGTCGACTGACTGACCAACTCACTGCCGACTGCTACTACTCTTACTTATTATAGGTAGGAGAGTCTATAAACAATAGAATAGGTGTGTTCCACTATATATATATATATATATTATATATATTTTAAATAGGTTAGAAACGGTAAAAAGCGTTGGCATTAAAAACTAGAAATTTTGCATTTAAGAAAATATTCAAGGTTATTACTAAACCGGAAATCTGGTGTTGTCCAATGGACCGCCATGACTTTAACAAAATGTTAAAAATAACAAGTTTCATCTTGGTTCCATTGACAACATTTACCGGACCTGAAATGATTTCAGAAAAATTTTCAAAATGGGTAAAAATGGTTCGTTCATTTAAATGGATTCGAACCGTCTGGTTTATCCCCCGTCTATATGGATTTAATAAAATTCATTTAGGGTGTCCGCTGAGACCCAGTTATCGATGATTGGGTCTTCACTCAGCATAAAGTCATGAACTTTGCTTAATGTTGCAACCAGTGTTGCACATTACAGGTCCTTTTGTATTTTATTAAATTTTTTCTTTTTCCAAATTCATTCCCAATTGTTGCCATGAATTTATGTGTTCACTGACATCTGTAGCCTCTTCACTTGTGTTCCTTTTATCGGAGACTATTGAAATTTGCAAATGATATCATATGATTAACTCCTCCGAATATAATTTCTGAAGAAGTGTTCGTTGAACTCATGAAATTTTGCAATGTTTGTCGATTTCAGTTTCGAAATATCATTTCGTCAGATGATTTAACGATGGGTTATTTTCCTGTTTTGGCAAATATTTTGTTGGGGTTTTTGAAGAAAATGCTTTTGTTTATGCCTGACCCACAGTTTAAAAATGTTGATGAACCTTTGTGTGTTCAGCCTGAATCGTCCGGATCAATTTTTTCCCTACTCAATAGTGTTTATCCTGCCCTGTAAATATTGGTTCATTGCCCTTTTTAGATGTTCTTGTTCAAAGAACTCCTTCCTTGTTTATTACCTCTGTGTACAGGAAGTCTACGTCATTATACCGTTGGGGACCCTTTTGTCCTAAACAACAAAAGATTAATTTGATTAGACCCTTTATACATAGGGCGTTAATGATCTGTTCGGATGACAATTTTTTTCACATGAAATTTGTTTAACTAGATATTTGTTATTTTATGGTTTCCGTTGAACATTGTTTCAATCGGTTATTCGAGATGAGACCGCTAGGTTCAAATTTGTCAAACCTGCTTCAGTTGGTAAATGTCCGGTCTATCTTCGTTTATGTTAAGGGTAATTAGTGAATCCTTCTGCCAAACATATTTCATGTAGTTCACGTGATTTATTTTGCAGCGAACGTTCATTTTGTTTTTTAAACTAGGTCTGTACTTCCATCTATTTGTAAAGATGTTCTAACCATATTAACTCTGTTATTTACTATTTCAAATGTAGTTGTGGATGCAGGACTACATAGTAGAACGACATGTTGGAAAGATAAAACAACACGACCTGGATTACCGTACAAAAATTTTTTTTTTTGATGATACCATTCGAATCTTCCATTGTCATTTTATGAATCGAATATGGATTTCTGAACTGGTTTTCCGTCTTGGCCATTCGCACTTCCGGTATCTCATGTTGGAATCGCTTTACATCAGGTCCAAGCAGTTTCTCATTGCAAACAAAGAGATTGTTTGCTTGCTGTTCTGCGCTTCTAGCAGCTTGGTTGGTATAAATTATATTCAATGTCACCCATGACAGACTTTTTCTTTTTTCCTCATAATCTAAATTCCCCGTTAACAGTTTACGAGAGGAAAACCGGTCGACTAATTTTAAACTTATCATGGACCTTGTCCAGTTTTTAATGCCTTATATATATATATATATATATATATATATATATTCCGTTATCGTCACATGTCAACATAACAGAATATCATCTTTGATAGTGAATATCTTTGTTTAAATGTTCATATAACCACTCTGATGATGGCTCATGCGAGCCGAAAGCTTAGATCGAGGAACCGCATAATAAAAATATCCAAATGTTGGACAATTTTTGTCTTTATTATCATCCGAAATTAAAGCAACTATACGAAGCTTAGAACGGCTCATGATCAAACATAATAGGCATTTGTTGTTAGTTATTGTTGTGACCTAGGGAAGGCTACTGAATAGAATAAACAACGAAGGTTTGGTAATGAGCGATAATACTTAGGACAAGGACAACACATATAAGATTCGCCAGCGGCGCGTAGAAGTAGTAGTCAACTGCTAGAAGTGAGTCAAGTGAATTCTACAATGAATCTCTAACTGCACGATATCTACCAACCGGCCCACGCGGCCAGATTTGGCACAAAGTGGAATTTAATGTGGGCTATCCGAGCCCATAGGCTCAGCCAAAATTTCTCTGTAGACGGCGTATAAAACGGAGTCGGGTAGGTGTTTCCCGAGACGAGACTCTGCCCTTCGACATAGCCTCGTCTGAGGATCCTCTCTGCCCGGAGGCCGAGAATTCGACCAGTACAGTTAGAGACAACTCTCCGACTGCAGACCAACATACAGTATTTACTACTGTATTTATGTGAATGGGGACAGACCCATTATCGTCCGTAGGTATGCTACAACAGTTATATTTAATAATATATATATATATATATATATATATATATATATATATATATATATATATATATATATATATAACTGGAAAGAAAAAAAAATATATATATATATATTACTAAACCCGTACCATAAAAATGACGACAATTTTTAGAAAGTTTTAGCGATCCAATGACTCAAAAGTCTTGAAACAATGTACTCAGTTTTAATAAAGCACAGATAATGAATTCATAACTAAGATCGAGGTCAATTAATCGTTTCATTATTCCGTTTTCTTCATATTTTTAGCCGTTCAATTGTATCTATGATTCATCGATTACTCTTGGTATTATATAAATCGATTTTTGCTTAATATCTTTTGATGTTAAAGATTTTATGTGTTTAATGTTGCAATAAAATGGAAATATTTCTCGGTGGGAAAAATATTAGTAACAGAACAACAAAGACGGAGACGATAAAGCCTATTTCAAGACCAAAAGTTGACGCAAAATGATTACGTCATTGACAATGTATCCGTGTGCATCATATGAAAGGCTTGAACAAATAAGACTGCAATCTAAGTAACGGAGGAGTAAAGGCACTTTTTAATTAAACGGTTAAATTCCTCGCGAACTAATTCTGACTAAATGCAAATACATATTTTATTTGTATAGATTATTAAAACGAATAAAAGAAGTAATCACTCATAAATTTACTAACTTAAAGTGATTTACCTCCCTTCGTACTAGAGGTGGGACAGGAAATATATAAATTTATGCACATTGTT